TTTTTTTTTTTTTTTTTTTTTTTTTTTTTTTTTACTTTTAAGGTCTAGCCTCAAAATCTGGCAAGGGAGGAAGGAAAATCCATCCCAGTGTTTTATTTTCTCTTTCCCTTCCTCTTCAGGGTCCTTTGACTTCCTTTACACTCAGTTTTTCCACTTCCTACCTAGACCTCCCTTCCAATCAAAACCTTGTTGAACCCTTATTAGAGTCATTATCTTTTTTAAAAATCAGTATTTTCTCTACCTTTTACTTAAAAGCAGGGAAAAAAAGAAAAAACTTACCATTTCCAGCCCTTTATACTTTCAGTATATAGTCTTCCAGTACAAGAATACTCTAACACCTCTCTCTCTCTCTCTCTCTCAGGAGCCAACAATATGACAGCCTTCTGTTCCCTTGTGTCTTTCCAAGTATTTCCCAGGTATCTCTTAATTTGAGGACTAAATTTACTAGGAAGAGACACACTTAGCAGACATGCAAGAATCAGGAGAGTTCAGAGGGAGGCACTGATGAGAAGCCCAGTCTGCCAGCAACCATCTGTTCCAGAGAGGGAAACAAAGCCACAGATTGCTCCCAGGCAGCTCCCCGCAGACACTACTTGAGGACTATTTCTAGTTTGTGGCTGGAAGGTGTGCAATAAATTGACAATTTCACTTCTTCCCACAGAGTTTTCTGATTAGCAGCACTGAAATTACTGTTATTTTCACTTTATGAGTATCGTATCCAAGTGTGTGGGTTTGGGTTTTTTTGAGGGGGGAACTAGAGCCAGATGATTGGATGCTGAGCCCTGTAGGCAAAATTTTTGCTTGCATATATTCCAACAATTTTTAACTACTCTTCTACTACTACACATTACCTTATTTTCTAACTTCTACCAGACACTTCTGTACATTTAAAATGTTTGTTCCACGTAAAATATAAGATTCTAAATAAGCCCTGTAAATAAAAACCAATCAGAAGACTATTTCCATAGAAAGAGGATTTGAATACACATCACACTGCACAGCAAACTTTTCTGTATAAAATCTGCATTAAGCCTGAGAAATAACATCGAACCAGTTTAAACTGGCACAGCAAAGCCATCACAGACCAGGCCTATTTCTGAACAACTCCTAAAGCTGGCAGCACCATGACAGTCACGTCCAAGGGATCCATTTGAGATAACGTTTGTGCATTTTACCTAATTCCCAAATAAATCCACGGAGCAGCAGCGTTCCATCCTGCAGCTTGCCCAGCGGGCGGCTCTGGATGGAGGAGGAACAACAGAGAACTTCGCAGGTGCCGCCGGGGATCTCCATTTCCATTTCCAGAGGCTCTCCTGAGGCAGGACCGCAAAACAGTACAATGAGAAACCTCAAAATTTTAAGCACATATAAAACATTCGCTCATTATTCCTTCCCCTTCTCCCGTGCCAGGCCGCCCCGCGGCCTCTTTCCCCCGCGCTCCCCTCACGGCCGGGCCCGTCCCTGGCGGTCCGTGTGACCCCTCCCGGGACCGCCCAAACCCCCTCTGCGGATCCCCCGGGCCCGGGTCCCCCGGTACCCCCTCGCCGCCGCCGTCCCCGTCCCCTCTGCCCTCAGCCCGCCCCTCCGCCCTCCGCCGGCACCGCCCGCTCCCGCCCTCCCCTTCCCGCTGTCACTCGCGGCTCCGCCCGCCCCTCTCCGGCCCCTCCCCGGCCCCGGCGGAGCCGCCGCCGTTTCCGGAGCGCTCGGCGCGGGGCCCGGGGCTGTCGCGGGCAGGTGAGTGAGCGCCGCGCCGACCCCGCCGAGCCCCGGGCCCGGCCCGGCCCCGGCCCGGCCCCGCCGCTCCCCGCCGCCCTGCCGGCGGGCCCGGCCGTGCGGGGCTCCGGGCTGGCGCGTTCGGCGGTGCCGCCGCTCCGCCCTCCCCGGGCGCCGCGGGGACGGGGCGCGGAGGGCGGCGGGGGGGGGGGGCGGCGGGGGGCGGCGGCCGCCCGGGGCAGCGCCTGGGCCGCTCGGGGGGCGGCGGCAGCGGCGGGGCCGGGGGAGCCCCGGCCGGGGGGAGGCAGGGCGGCCGTGCCCGGGGCTGTGGCCGCGCTGCCCCGGCGGGGCTGGGCCGGCTGTGGCGGCGGGGGCAGCCCGGGGCGGTGTCGGGGGCAGCCCGGGGCGGTGTCGGGGGCAGCCCGGGGCGGTGTCGCGGCCGCCCCCCGTACCCGCCGCCGTGCCCCGTGTGCGGGCAGCCCGGGCAGCGCGGCGGGGCCGGGACTGCGCCTGCGGGAATTCCTGCGCACCTTCCCGATCCACAGGGACCCGGCCCCGCCGCCCCCCGGCCCCGGGGCGGCCCCGCCGTGCGGCCTCCGGGCGGTGCCGGCCGGACCTCCCCGGGCAGGGCGGCCCCGGCCGGGCCCCCCCGCGCCCCCGGCCCCGCAGCGCGGCCCGCACAGATTGTTCACCTGATGCGAGCTGGAAGTGCCGCTTGTGGTTGCCGAGCCTTATGCTGTGTGCATATGGTAGCTGCCAGTAGAAGAGGATAACGCGTTTGGGGCTGTAGCTTAAAACTTTACTGATGTTCCTTTGCCTCTCCCTGCTCCAGGGGTTTTGTCGTGTGAGCGGAGAGGAAGTGGTGCAGGTACGTGTTTGTCGGGTGGATGTCGGCTTGGGAATTTGAAAGCGGTTGGAGGTTCTTGTTTGTTTGCTTTATGAGCGATTATAAACGTTATTGCAGGTATAAATCGGCCATTGTTGTTATCGCTGTTGTTTTTATGGAGGAGCAGGTGTCTGAGTGTCTGAAGAGCAGGTACCCCAGTGCCGTGTAACCACAGTGCACTCGGTGTTTCAGTGGGTCATCCAGTGGTTCGGGGGCACACACGGCTGGTTCCCAAAATGTCACTGCACGTGGAACCGCCGGGGTGGCTGGTGGACAACCTCAAACCTAGAGATTGTGGATTTTCAGGTTACTGTTGCTCGCTGTTTCTGTTCTCTCAGCCCAGTGCTCTGGGCAAAGAGGCAGTGGTGCTCTTGAGGAACTGTTTTTGTTTTCTGTGGGCGATGGGCAGCCGGAGCTCCCCTTCCCTCACCTCGCTGAGGTATGTGGTGTGTGTCCCGGCCACATGGAGGTTTTGGTATGCAGCTCATGGGATCAGCAGTGTTGGCTGGTTTTGGTATGTGCACAGGTGCTATTTGTGTATCGTGGGTATCAACATGATTTTGCACTTGGCTGGAGTCTTCTACCAGGCAACCTTTCTAGAGAAGATAAGCTGGGCCCTTCTGTAAGGAATGGCTGATTTTCCAAGTTCAAGACTTGCACGAGGTTTTTCTTTCTTCCTTTATTTTCTGTTTTGTACTTTTCTTCCTAGAAGGACTTTGTAAGCATTTGATCTGTCTTTGGGAAGAAGGTGTTTCAGGGCAACGTAAGTGTTTCTGGTGCTTTGTGGAACCTTTGAGGTGTGAGTAACCAGGCTGGAAGCAGCACAGAGCCACTGCTTTCCACGAATTTTATGGTGCTGCTTCCTAGGTCAGTGTAAGGCAGAAACCCTTCCATTGCCATTTCTCGTCCTGAATCAGGAGTTACTCAGGGCACTTAGGAAACTAGAAATAATGCATACAGGGAATATTTTTCTGGTTGAATGTCTGTTCTTGAGACTCTGAAATTTGATTAACACGTAAATAGTCTCTCATAAAAAATAATAATGAAAATATCTGCAACAAACATTTAAAAGAGAAGTGGAGATCTCTTCTTGGGCCTCAACTTGGATTTTATGACTTGGATCTTAAATTTCTGTGGATCTGCTGTCTCCACCTTGAGAGCTTTATTTCTCTCTTCTTCCCACTATTTATTATCTTTCAACACCTCTTCTTCCTCAGCATACAAATGATGGCCAGTCTTTTTTTTTGCAGCAAAACAATTGTGTTTTTCTGTCCTGTAAGGTGTAAGTAAGCTTTCCTTTATACCTGGCACTGACAGTCATTTTGAGTGCTGCCACTTGACACAACCCTGTTTTGAGTAGTGAGAGGCAAGAGAAATTGTGCTGCTGCTTTTGTTTATGTAGTAGTACTGGAATAGGAAAAGACTTGTTCTTGGTACAATGAATGCTGGTACACCAGAAATCCTGCTAATGATAGTGATTAATGGGTGCTGCTCAAAATAGCTATCGCTGCTGATATGACTAATTGTGCTGTGTGAAAGGAGCTCCTTTATTCCCAGTGATCTCAAGGTGTTTCTACAGCTCTGGAGAAGTGCCTGATCTGTGCAGGCATATAACTACACGCTGAGGTGCAGGACTTTCAGGGAAGTATGGCAGCTCTCTCAGGAGCTGGATGTGCTGCAGAACCACTTGAGGCTGAAAATGAAGAACATTTTCTTGCGGTTACTGTAGGTAGATAGAATATTATTACTGGAATTGGGTGTCAGCCAGCGCAACACCCTACGTGTTTCAAACAATGCCAGAGTATTGTTAGTGGCTACAGAAAGGGTTTATATCATACATGAAAGATGACATTTCCAGCAGCATGGGTAACCTCATCACAGAGCCTTGTGCTGGGGCTGGCTCTGAGGGCAACGGGCTCTGCTGACAAAGTCTATGTCGTGCTGCTCCTCCTGGAGCTCGGTGGTGTGTCTGGATTAGTGTTTCTTACCCTTCCTCGGCCTTTGGGCAACAGCAGTGGATTAGTAACATGCTGCAGGCAATCTCATGCTCTCCAGGCCTTATCACGTTCCAGGTTCTGGGTAGATTTTTTATGTATTGTGGCTGAAAGCAATGCTGGAAACATATATGGGGACTGTGGATCTACACTAGAGGAGGTGCTGTGCCTTGATACCTGTGAAATCTGAAATTTTGGCTGGTAGGATGAAAAAAATATTCTGAAAGTTAAGTAGAATTTGTAAAGATGGGCTCCAAACTCACAGAGAAGAAGCTTGAAGTTGTGTTTGTTGTGCCCCTGGCTTGGTGTGGGTATCTTCTCTTCTGCTGTTTGTGTACCTTGAGATGATGTTATGGCAGGGGAGGTTTGTCCCTTCTGCCCTCAAAGAAACTCTTTAAGATGTGGGGTGAGGGCAATAGGACACATTCAATTCACAAATACTGCTTTGCAGGTTAATTGCTGTTAATTAATTGGTCTGATATGATTCCAGTCTTGTAGTGTTCTGTGAATAAACCATTTTGATCCCATCCTAGAATTTTGTTGAAACAGTGATTAAAACAAGGGGGGAAAAAAGATTTTTTTTTTTTTAAATGAAACTTCAAAATTAAAATTACAGCTGGTGTTAATGAGGTGTGTTTCACTTTGAAGTGCTCTAATGTGACAAGACAAATTATTTTGAGAACTGTGGTCTTGAAATATCAATCTTGCCTTACCCTGCTGTAATTAATGAAGATTAGTGTGTTGATTACTTAAGATAAGTTTGGGGGGATTGATCTGTGTGATTCTAAGGTCATAAACTGCATGAGGCAAACTGGAACAACCTTGGAGTAAAAGAGAAGGGTGTGTGTATGTGTGTGAGAAACAGCGGAACAGAAGGTTTAGAAATGCTGGTTAAGCTTTGAAGAATGAAAGAAAAGGGCTGAAAAGGGGAGTGCAAAGGACTCCAGGTATGACTGGGGCAATCCTGAGATGTCTGTGAGGGAAGCTCAGTGTGGGTGGGTCTGAGGTGGGAGGAACTGAGGCTCTGTGAGGCTTTCAGGCATCTTCAAGAGCCTGTGCAGCACGTCAGGCATTTTTCCAGCTGTGAATTGCATTCCATCCGTGGGACATGGGCTTCAGTCTGGTGATAACACACAGCAGCTTATCCAGTTCAGGTCTGGAGTGTGATACTCTAGGGCTTGGCTCTGAAGAACCACTTTCACAAAGGAAATAAATATTCTTCGTCTAAGGAAAGCCCTCATGTGAGAACATGATAGCACTAGTGCGTGGAATTTTTGCTGTATGAGCTAAAAAACAAACAAAAAACTTTTGCTGTAAAGTAACTGCCCGTGTTTTAGGGTCCCATCAGAGAAACTAATTCCTTAGGAGACATCTTTACAATACTTCCCTTAAATGTCACCAACTCCTGCTTGTGTTTTTAGTGAAATTTTCTCCCTGAAATGACTGATGCATATTTTCTGGTTTAGGCCAGCTGGATTTTCATTGTCTTACAACAGAGCTGTAGTCCTTTGTGGTCTTCTGTTGCTTGATTTCCTAACAGTTCTCTGCTTTTTCAAGTCGTTGGGGGTTTTGGGTCAGTGTGGCTCTGTTTTGTTTTATGGAGTCATGTTTCAGTGGGGTACTTGTCAGGCTCCAGTGTTTTCTGATAAGCATTTCTTTACAATAGCATTGCAAAAGACAGATTCTCTGGAAAATTTCAACAGGAAAATTCTTCCACCACCTTGTCGGTCACTCCTCCTCAGGCTGAGATATTCTGGTTTTGTTGTTTCCTGGCACTACAGGTGTGTAGGTTAGAATGCTGTAAGGGAACACATCAACTGGCTGTTTAATAACTGTATTTTAGGTGTGATTCTTGTTTGGTTGTGCACTCAAAGTTGACGTTTAAATG